GAACCAAATCAACACTGAACTGACTGTCTTCTGTAAACCTATTTTACAACAGAATTTGAATTTATCTTAAATTTGATGCATCTTTAATTCTGCTATTTTTCCTGTTTATCACTGTGAAGCTGCTTTGAATCAATCTGCATTGTATAAAGCACTAGACAAAGACTTGACTGTTCAAGTCATGCATGTTTCCTATGTTGAATCCCACTTTTGTTTTCATATATTGAAAAGGTTTATTTTTTTCGTAACTGATACTAATAAACTGCACTTGGGGTTCTGATGTGTCTCCACAGGTAGCGAAAAATTTGTCTCAAATGGAACGTAAAATATTGTACCTTGATATGGCATATCCAGCAATCATTACAGAATTGAAACAAGTCCTTGCAGTGTACACAGAGACCGTCTCGCACACTCTATAACACAAGACAGCTAACCAACTCTACGCTCCAGGCATGTGAACGATTTTCTGCACGTGTCAGCAGACAGCTTACACAACGTTGAGAGGCACTTTCCCATCTTAACCAGAAATTGGCTATTATATGTCTCTCTCCACATATCAAAGGCATAGATGTGTGTGTGTGTACAGCTGTACAAATGCTTGCCGGATACACATAACACCCTGAATACGGATGTTTCCACGTCATTCTTCTCGCAAATATCAAAAGAGCTTGAGGTGGCGTCTGATGGGACACACTCTTTTGTCATCGCTGGCTCCACAAATAATTCATAGACAGCAGAGTGAAGTCGAGGCACTGAGAACTCATACTGACAGCCACTACGTCCACATTCTTCCACCTGTCTTATCCTGTCTTCAGCAGAGACAAATAAAAGGACAGCAAGACGGTTTCTTGCTCTGACTGGTCAACTGTCTCCAGATGATGACCTCATTCATGGTCCATCTGATCAGATTTGGGAGGGGTTTGACTTGCCAGAGAAGAGAAGGGATTGAGGCTACTATGAGAGTCCTTCATCTGAGGAAAAATGGTACAATTGAATGAGAATTAAATTAGACATTTCTACACTGTGTCCTAACCAAATCTCTTTCATGCTGATCTAAGCTTCCTAATCAGGAAAATGCATGGGGCTGGGTGTTAAAAAAATTCCTGAAGCTCTCTATTCTGATTCGATAATATAGTAATGACAACTTGATGCTGATTCAACAGTTCAATGGATTCAGTAAGTTCACTCAGTGAAGAGTCTATCAGACTGGTTCAAACAGTAGGGCTGCGCAAGTTAACACGTTATTATCGCGTTAACGCATTAATTAATTAACGCCGACAATTATTTTATCGCTCATTAATGCTGTTTTTATTATTATTATTTTGAAAGTCCGTTGCTCACTGGCTCTGAATACACATACAGACAAACCATGGGTCACAGGAGGGGTGGGATATTGATCAGTACTGGTTTAGGATGGGCGTCATCATGCGTCTCAACCAATGAGAGCATTTGGGGTGGGCCTAACACCGTGTCTACAACGGACGCGAGCGGCGCGGCGCAATAAAATACTATAGAACCCATTATAATCAGTGATGCAATCTACACTGAATGCGCCGCGGTGAGACACGACAAATCCCTGACAGCAAACTGCTGCCTCGTTCTATTTATGACGTACTGAAACAAAATTCAAATGATTTGCAACGGTCGCTTTGTCGCGTGATGCGTCCAGTCATTGTAGAAAGGCTTTAGCTGTTGTGGTGCGTCCAGTGTAGACAGCATTAGAGCTGTGCAATTAATCGAAATACTGTTACGATTTCGGCCTTCAACTATTATGAAAATACAATAATCGAGATAAAACGATTATTGCACCCCATTCCTCCCCCTTTCCAGTGGTGCTTTAAAAGCCCAATTTCACGTGCAAATCAGTAAAAACATATAACGTGACTTTCGCAAAATGGGACGTGCTTGATTTATCAAAGTTTTTTCGATTTATTCATGTTTTTAAAAGCGCGAAAGAGAACTTGCGCTGTTCCTCAGGAGGCTTTCTGTGCATCCGCTCAGAGACGGAACAACACGGACGTGTAAAGTCAACTTTTAGCTTAAGGTACGCGCCTAAATGGTCAAATAAATGCAAAAATGTGTCAAAATGTGGTGCTTGGTGATTATTCACGTGAACACTCGTCAGTTATGTAATAACAAAACGTAAACAGTTGAGAATGAAAATACGTGTGTAACAGTAAATTGGATCCAACAATTTTCACAGCCTTCTTTGATCATATTTACCAAGGGTGCCGATAATTTTGGCCATGACTGTACAATAAATATTTTAACTGCTACTATGTAAAGGGAATACTGTTGTAAAAAAAGCACTTATTTGTTTAAAGTGTTTGCAAACCAAATGTTATTGCACTTTTGTTCATACAGCAGTACTTTTAAAATAAAAGTGTGCAATACAGTACTTTTGAATTCATTATTGAATTTTGCACATTACAATGAGATTAATCACAGAAAAATAATGCAGTTAATTGCGATTAAAAAAAATATCGTTGCCCAGCACTATCCAAAACACAATCTTTTTGAAAGATTCATTAGAAGGATTCAGTAGGAGTCACACGTATTGTCCTGTATGTTATTGTATGCAGCACGCAAGGACACCACAAAATGTGGTTTTCTTGCAACTAAGTGGTGTCACCACTGAAATGCACTAAAACACTGGAAAATAATAAATGATCATTCTTGGGATTTTGGGAATTGATTCTGATCATGACTAATTACTTTTTTTTCTTCTTAAATTTCACTGTTAGCTTTGTTTACCGTAAAATTCACATTGATCAATTCACATTCCATTAAATTCTTGCTTCAAATAGCTCTATATTGATTTCCAAGCTGTCATCTCATAATTACCATAATTCTGATTTCAAACTGCAGCATAAAAATCAAATATGTTTATATTGGGTGTGATTTTGTTGCTTCACATCATTCCACAACTTCACGCTAGAAACTTGTATTGCGCCAAGATAGTACAAGGTGTTAAACTAATCCAGGTGTGTTTCAGCAGCACCCATGTAAGCTATAATATACCTCCATTATTATAAAAGTAGAAAATGGACATACATCACAAGATTAATACATTCATGAGCATACTCTACACAGCCACACTGTGCATTTTGTATGTTTATTCCATATTATGTATGATATTGCCTTGGGATCAACTCACCAAGTCAAATTCAAAGAAAATCTTTGAAACTAACTTTTTCTGATTCTAATCATGTTAACAAAATCTCCTAACAAGTGCTTTGATTGGCATTAGCCGCTTGCGACTTCCCCTCACAAATCCCTCCTTTGGCTCCATCTCTCGTGTGTGGACTTTCAGGTTCACTCTCTCTCTGCTCTGAACATCTGCTCGCTGTTGAACTACAGTTGGATTTGCCCATATAGCTCCAAGAGCGCTAGTTAATTAGTGGATGGAGATTAGGCAGGATAATAGACAGGGAAAATCTCCTGATTATCTCGCAGAATCCTGGGAAAGAGTTGCATTATAGCAGAGATGCCATCACCTTCTTATTTGTGTCTGGTTTAATTACTGAGGATGGGTCACATTGAGAAGTGGCTCTGATAGACGTGGGATATTATCAACACAGCTGAGGATCATTTTCCGGTGGCTAAATAAAGAATATTGCATATGGAGGAGCTTGCAGAGAAAGTTTAAGTAAAAAAAAAAAAAAAAGCAGAAAAGAGTTGGTTATAATTGCGAGTGAGTGTTTGATTTATTAAAACAGATCTTCTCGTTTGTCCTTACATTTGAAGTGAGTATTACATAATAAATGAACTGCAAATTTTGAGGTTCACTTTAAATGTGATTGGATTACAAATGGCCACAGTTAAAAATGGTTTCACTGTCCGCGTTCCTAAAAATATAAAGGTCAGTTTCCCACACTCAGATACAGCTTAGCCCCAGTCATAAATATGGCCAATGAATAATTATTATTATGCAATAAACCAGATCTAAAGCTGTGTGTTTTCAGGAAAGAGCACCAAAAACAGTGGGTCAAGGATTGGAGCAGATTCAAGATTCTAACAGACCAAATTCGGCCAAAAAACATTGCAACCTATTAAGGGACAATTGAGAAATGCACTGGCAGGTTCTATTATGGTTTTTTTTTTTTTTTTTTTTTTTTTTGGTGAACCAAAATTAGTCTGATGACAAGTAACTTCCCTATGTTCCTTCCATATGTACTGTAAAACTCTAAACAATAAATAAAAATGATAACAAAAGCCTGGGTAAATAAAAAGGCTGATGCAAATCTCTATTCTTTGTGTCAATCTAATTTGTTAGCAGTGTTTCACTACGCAGTCTGACGTTTTTATTCTCTTCTCTTTGCCCCCTTGTGCACAGTTCATTATAAATGGCCGTGAGGGAAGTGTCTTTTATTATTTACAGTATTTACTTCAGGGGAAGTCATGGCTTGTGTCATATTTATCTTGCTGAAAAATGGGCTGAGGAATGCACTTCACCCCCTTTGAACACAAGGAAATGTAGCATGCTACTAATACAGCTCATGATGGGTATAGTTCAGTGAGCAACGATGAGATATGTCTCAATTAATCTGACTGTTCACAGAGAAGGGGGGCGGGGTATTTCTATTCAGCAGTAAAAGTAATTTAAAATAGTATATAAAAGTAATATATAGTAGTATATAAAAGTTATAAAAATTAATATATAGTAGTAAAGTAATATATACAGTATATATATACATATACTGTATATATGACCTCATGAAAAAAAAATGTAGTTTTAAGTAAAAGCTTCTTTTTAAAGACTTTAATTAATTCTAAAATTAATTCAAGATATATATTACAAAATATGTCTAAGATATCAAATGTTGCTTCATATATTTATTATATTTTATTTGCAAATATATCCTGTATTTTCTTAAAATCAATACGGTAAATATATCTATGAGGATGTGTGTGTGTGTGTGTGCAACCCAAGCCGGGCACCAGAGCAGGCAGGTCTAGCATTACACAGCCTCCAGGCAGCTACATCTCTGCACCAGGTCTTGTCCGACAATACACAGAGACTGCAGCCAAACTCACACACACACTGACATCATCCAGCAGCGGCTTCTGCTGCATGTTACTCACACCCACCGAGCACAGGTAGCTGATACTGGAGCCACATAGTCGTCCCGCAGGACAAAAAAAGGAAAATCTGGGCCATTTTGATTACGATTGTTCTGAACAACATAGTAAAATTACTTAATTTCTGTAGTATATAATATGTAGTGTGCACAGTATGCACTTTTTTTTCTAAACAATCAAACTGTGTGGAATGTTGTATCTTATAATACAATAAACTCAACTTGACCTTATATAGTGATTTTTTTAATCGCTACTTTTCCTATGATTTGAGGAAGGAAATAGTGACGAGGAAAGTGATCACATTGCGAGAGGTCAGCTTTGACCTCGGATGTCAGAGGTCATGACCCCACAGAGGGCCTGGAATAATAATCAGTGTGACGGCAAACAGATGTCATTCATTTTTGTCCTGGTAAAATTTGTAAACTTGTGTTTCCACAAACTCCCTCTTTCTCTGAATAGTGCTGATGCTATAATACATCAAAGACAACTCAAACCGGACTAAGAAGGCTCATTTTTGTTGTGGAACTCCCTTCTTTCCTTCTTTCCTTCTTTCCTTCTTCCCCGTCATGCATGCAGGCTCTTTAAAGTGATTGATGGCGCTCTGTGACTTGTGCCAACAGCACAGCCATGGCAGACCCCTGGGGAGGCTGAACTGCCATCAATAATACAGAGACTAGTACAGACTCTCAGTCTAGACTAAGAGAGATCGGTTTGGACACTGGTTAGGTCTAGTCTGATTATGACATTATTATTAAGAACTGGCAAAATACCAGATACAAATCTGGGTCAAATCTGTAGGGGTTTTAAACGTAAAAAATGACAAGGAACCCTAAGGATGGGGATACCCATGCGAGGGATATTATTCCTAAAATACAAGGCAGCTGTATATTTTCATGTATGAAGATGCATTTATACTGGGCTGAATAAATATTACTCATGATATTATAAAGATGTACACCTAAACTAAAAGTTTAGAGACAGTAATGTTATGTTTTAATGTTAATGTTTTAATATTTTGAAAGAAGGCTTTTATGCTCACAAGGACTGCATTGATAAAAAAAATAATAATAATATTTTGAAATATTATTACATTTCAAACTAACTTTTATTTTTTATATATATTTTAAAACGTAAATTATTCCTGTGATTTAAATCTGAATTTTTAGCATCCTAACTCCCGTTTTCAGTGTCACATGATCCTTCAGAATTAATTTTAATATGGTAATTTGCTGCTGAATAAACATTTCTTATTATTATCAATGTTGAAAACAGTTGTGCTGCTTAATATTTTTGTGGAAACCATGACACGTTTTTTTTTTTCAGGAATCATAAAAAGTTCAAAAGACAACATTTATTGAAAAGAGAAATTTTTGTAACATTTTAAATATTTAAAACTTTTAACTGTTAATTAATTTGATGCATCCTTGCAGATTAAATTTTTTATTATTATTTTTTTTTTTTTATCTTATTGAGCTTAAAATTTATATATTGGGGTCAGTAAGATTTTTATGTTAATATTTCATCTTAAAAATATGCATACAATTTGACATTTTAAATTAAATGTAAATTTATTATGGTAACAAAATAGGGCTCCAAACAGAATAAAATAATTACCAATTTTTGGACCAATTAATATGTTGTATTAGCAAACATACTTAATTAAAGGTTAAAAAACAAACAAGCATACAAACAAACAAATAAACTAAAAGAGTGCCCTATAGTGATATGATACAGTACTGGAGAAGTTACAAGAAAGGACACTGAGAAGATAGGTGGTGGGATCAGAAAATGAGGCAAACCATCCAATTTCAGAACCGGTCATCACATATAAGCATATAACCTGCCCTACTATGTCTCCAACTGATACGTTTTAGACAAGTCTGCTTACAGAATTACTCAGAATATCAGGGTAATTCACAATGTTGTTCAAAAACATAGTCTTTGCAGGTTATCATAACCATGAACCAACCACAAATGGGCTTTGGTCTACATTATACACTTTTTTTATTTTCAAAAGAGCAATGAGGAAATGTGTGTCCGTGTTCATGTTCCAAAGGAGATATTTAATGATGAGTGTATCACACTGTTAGTGTGACAGCATCATCTCACAGTGGAGTGGAGTCTCAGGCGAGTGACAGGAAGAATGGCCTCAGCACCTAGCCATTGGTTCATTTCTATTTCAGGTTCAATCTTTTATTTAGTCACAACATCCCAGTGTCATGAAATATTCATGGCAGCATGTTTCTCGTCTAATACCGCTCATGTCCGGTAACGCCCTGCCATCTTTAAATATTTCTCAGAACAAATGCACTCTAGCCTGTTTGCCTCGCTCCGCCTCTGCTGCTCACCTCCGCTGGACCTGCACGGGAACGGTCAAGCGCTGCATTAATGGGCCAAACAGGACACGGATGAGCCCTGACACTGCAGTAAGGATTTTATTAAAAATGAATGAAAATCAAAGAATAATACATTTGTAGATTTCTGTCTTTAGCAGTGTTGGGGAAGCTATTTTAGCTTCATTATTCAAGATATATTTTTAGTTGTTTAGTGTCAGCATGAAATCAGATTTCCTTGTGATATTCAAGCGAGAGAGATATTTTTGGAGAGTGTTTCAATATATGAAGTTAGAACAAGTTTTTTTTTTGCTGTTTCTGTAGTAAATTTACAGCTCAGGCGAGTCCCATGTAACCCATGTCCTAACGCGCGTCATGGTGATTCCAGTATGAAAACTGCAAGATGGTAAAAAAAAGACAGGACGTGATATAGCAAATAAGTCCTGAACATTGACTATGAATGCTGACAATATAGGCCAGTCTTGCTGTGGTCTACACCTCATTCATTTCAGCAGGGGCCAATCTGACAGGCTTCAGGGCCCGCTCTGCCTTTGCCGGGCTTTCTACAGGAGTCACAAACCCAGCTCATTTTTAGCCATACCACCCCCCACAGCCTCTCCATGTCTCCACGGCTGACAGTGATAAATAGAGCTGTTAGGACTCAATGTGACAGACCGGACAGATAAAGACTGCTACTGTATTTACACGAAACCTCATATTCTGTTACTTTCAGCCAAACCACTGGACAATTAAGCATTTTTGGGAAGTTTGCAAAATTAAATTTAAATTTTATTTTATTTTTTTATTTTATTTTATTTTTTTTCATTTAGCAGATGCTTTTATCCAAAGCGACTTACAAATGAGGACAATCAAAATCAACAAGAGAGCAATGATATGCAAGTGCTATAACAAGTCTCAGTTAGCTTAACGCAGTACACTTAGCAAGTTTTTTTTATTATTCTATAATAAATAAAAAGAAAACAGATAGAATAGAGCAAGAATAGAAGAATAGAGCAAGCTGTTAGAGGCATTTTTTTGCTTTTGTTAATTGTATAATAAAATGATGTACTATACAGCTAAGCTTTATTCTGGTTTTCCTTTTTTATGCTTAAATATTAAGCATTAAATATATACCAGAATGTCCTAGAACTATATAAATATTATTATTATTATACTTAATATAATTAATAACCATAGCTAGGTAATTTATTCAATTAAATAGTGAGATACATTTCACATTTAAAATGGTAAACGTTTAGATTAAGCTGTACATTTGTGCATAACCATAATATAGCAAAGGAAACTCAATTAATAATAATTATTATTAGTATTATTATTATTATTATAGATTAAGAGACTAACTGTATTACAGTAAAATAGAGAAGGAAACTCAGCTCAACGTATTATATTAATAATAAGAAGTTATTCAATTATTAGATTTTTATATAATAAATTATTATTATTATTATTATTATAGGTTAAAAGACTTATTTGTATATTACAGTAAAATAGACAACAAAACACAACTCTGTATCAAAATGTGACAAAGTGAATGGGAAGGCATTAGGAGTCTTGGCTTATATATGGTTTCAGGTATCATTTATGTGCGTAGCACAAACAATGCAGAGTTATGCTGCAATGTTCAATATAGTACATTTGAAATAAGGTACCCTTCTCCTACATTTAATTCTGGTCTCATTGGATTGTGGGTGCTTAGCGAACAAAACCCAGGGTTTTCTCACTGAAAAAGCTGGGCGAAAAAGTGGCGCAACTGTTCATTGAATTTGCCCCAACACATTTGCCAAAAACGACGGCTGCATCATAGCCCGAAATTAAATGTGGGATCATTTACATATAACAGATGCCAACCCTTCAGTCATAAAGAAGCTACACAGACCAAATTCCCAAACCCAAATATCCAGAAACACATCCAGAGTGCTTCAAACGAGAAGAAACTAATTTGCTCTTACCTGTTTGTGCAAATTGCAGTGAAGACCCACGGGACATGAAAGAGAGGAAGAGAAACAAGGAAATGTTGATTAGTTAATTATACAGTTAATTTTAAGCCATGTGCTTTGAAAGCCAATATCTGAATAACATTTGTAAAGATCTCCAAAGGTGTAAAGTAACACAGATGGAGACGGCTTACAGTTACAACACATTAAAGAGGCTGTCACAAAATGAAATGCATTATGAAAGCAAAGCTGGAGGGCTTTTCAGTTTTCTTTCTAAATAAATCTCACTAGCATTATAAAAACAGAAACAGTTTTTTTAAGGGGGAGGGGTTTAGGGTGGAAACACATGTATTATCATCTGTTTGGAAAATGGAAGAGCACAAACCAGGAAATGTTCAAATCGCTACTACTCAGCTCTTTAGGCATAGCAATTGGATAAGAAAAAGTTTTATAAAATCTGAGATAATACAACAGATGCAAGACCCAACTAGATGTTTGTGTACCGAAATGTGTACCAATATCTGCCATTTAAAAACACGTAAACAAGCGTTAGATAAAAGATCTCATGAAATTAAAATTAAAGTGGAGATTAACATTTCTGTGAGCATTGATGTAATCTAAAATCACTAAATTAGATTTTTTATTTTTTTGTCCATGTTGGAAAATGGGCCAAACAATATTGATGACATCACAGATAACAGAGGCACATGACAGCATATTAAAAAAAAAAAAAAAAAAAACCA